TTGCAGATGGGATTAAGTGAAGGATTTTGAGATGTTTTAATCTAGGAGGGCCTTAAATGCCATCGCACGTGTCCTTATAAGAGAGAGGCAGAGGGAGCTTAGACACAGATGGACACAGAGGCGCAGGTGACATGACTGTGGAGACAGAGATTGGAGTGATGCAGTCACAAGGCAAAGAGCACCGTGGAGTGCTGGCACCCATGGGGAGCTGAAAGAGGCAAGGAGGTGACTTCGTCCCCAGGGTTTTGAGAGGAAACAGCCCTCTCAGCACCTTGATTTCAGACTTCTAGCCCCCAGACTGTGATAATAAATTTCTGTTTCAAGCCACCAGAGCTGTGGTAATTTGTTACAACAGCCCTAGGACACTCATCTTTGGGAACAAGAGAGAGAGAGTTTTAAATCAGATGAGTAGAGGCAATGGGGGCCTCAGGAAGTGAGAATAAAGAGTGAAGGGAAGTCAATGAAATGAGAGGAGCTAACGGTGACAGCTAACTTGTCACCCAGGCACCTGCTGTATCCCAGGCACTTCCATAAGAACGTTAGAGGTATTACTTCATTCTTACAACTCTCTGAGGTATAAGCTGCGATTATCCTCATTTTACAGGTGAGGAAACTGAAGCACAAAAAGATTCAATAACTTACACTAGGAAAAACGGGTAATAAATGGTGTGGCCAAGATATAAACTGAGAGGCTCTGGCTCTAGCACCCACATTTTAACCACACACTTCATTTCTCTCTTCTCCTCCCTAAAGTTGTGTGTTTCTCAAGGTTCGGCTTTAGATCTTTTTATCATGTAAGGTAGATGATAGGTCTCAAGGAAAAAAGGTATTGTTTTAAAAGTTATTTTGAGGTAGCCCTGGCCGGTGTGGCTCAGTTGGTTGAGCACTGTCCTATGTTCCAAGAGGTCACCGGTTAGATTCCCAGCCAAAGCACATGCCCAGGTTTCAGGCTCGATCCCCAGAAGGGGGCATGCAGGACGCAGCTGATCAATGTTTTTCTCTCTCTCCCTCCCTCTCTCTAAAATCAATAAAAGCATAGTTTAAAAAAAGGTATTTTGAGGTAGAAGGGAGGAAGATTAGAAACTTGACATCACCTGGGCTCCACCTTCTCAGCTGAGTTGGAGAGGCTATTGCCTGCTGACGCCAAGGGAGGCGGCCCAGGAACCTGGGGCAGGTGGCGAGGGTGCAGTGAAGCAGGAAGCACCGAATTGAATTTTTGCTGCCCAGGTAAACGTGCTCAGTGTCATTTCCTTGGCTGGCTCTTGACCTGTGCCCAAGGAGACTTTGTGCCGCGTAGAATGCCACATGCAGGGGGAGAAGGGGCAGAAGGAGGGCTGTCACCCCACACCTCTGCATGGAATGTACTTCGTTCAGAGCCAAGGAAGGAACCAGAGAGGTGTACATATGACCCTTGTCCTTAGGAACTCTTGAGCTGGTTGGAGAAATGGGACCTCCACGGGCTGGCAGGTAAATAACAGGACCAGGGCCTTGCATGGTAAGATGATAAGGCTAACTGTAGTGAACTGGGTGCTGACTGTGGGCCCGAGGAACTGGAAGGGCTTTTAGGTGACGGTCTCAGCTGGTTCTCACTGACTAAGGAGTTTGATAGCTGGTCAAGGTCCTGGAGGACATTTCAGCATGATGCAAAAGGGGGGGGAGGGTAGAGCAACAGCTCTCTAAGAGTTTGGGTCCAAGGAGTGCCAGAATATTATACCTTCCAAACCCACCTTGATAGATGATATACCTTCCAACCCTACTTCGTTAAATTATTCAGAACCACTACAGACTTAAAACAATTAGCCTATGTTCTGCTATTTAATTCATTAGGCTACATGGTGTAATGGAAAAGAGTGGAGTTAAGATTCCAGTTAATCACTTGTGTGACCTTGGACTTCACCTCTTAAGCCTCAGGATTCCCATCTGTAAAATGTAGATAATAATTCTCTGTCTTTTGGGGTTGGGGTGAGGCATTAATGGGATAGCAGTTGATAGCTAAGCACAGTGCCTGGCATTTAATGGATAATCAGTGTCAATATTTTTTAATATAAAATAGTTAAGAACACAGTGGATGATACAGTTTATTGGCTGACAATTCATTTCTGAAGACATGACTGCTGAATCTTCTATAAATGTTCATGCTTTCACGTGTCTGAAGTATATTTTCTATGTTGTGTACTGTTTGTTTATACATCTCTCTCCTCCATGGACTTGGCCATTGCATAAGCAGAGTTCTGAAGGGCCAGGTCCTTTATTTGTACCTCTGAGAACTCCTAATTCTTGGAAGACCTGAATGGATTTGCTCTGGTATTAGGGTTCTCCCCAATTCCCCTGTGATTTATTCATTTCCCTCATATCCATCCTCTCCTGGTAATACTCATGAATTCTTTCTTATTTTTAACATTTCCCTATGCTCTCTTTTATTATATAATTTTAAATGTGGAATTCAACAATTTCAAGTAGTTATGCCATTTATGTCCACTGTGTCATTTTTACTCTCGTTTGTCATTTTGTGTTTCCTTGAGGGGAGTTATATAAGAGCTAGAAGTGCCACACTGACTCACAGTCCTGGTCCCTTCGGCCCAATAATCCTCTGCAAAAGGGACAAGAAGAGATGTTTTGTGGAGAGCAGTCTATTTCACATTCGCAGACTGAGACTGCATGTACTGTCTGATGTTGACTTAAAACATCTCTCCAGCCCCTTCATCTGTCACCTGAAAACCTGTCTGCCATCTTCTGGAATCTTGATGGGGCTACAGACATTCATTCTGCACCTCTGTGGAAGTGTGGAGCATACACTGGTGGTAGGGAGCACGGAGGAGTGGAAGAATACCGGGTTGATGCTGTGGGGTTCGTCCTGCCCATGGAGAGAGAGACCAGGAGTCTAAGGACACACTTGCCCAGGCGGGCACCTGGGCATCAGAGCAGGGCATGCATTGCCAAGGGAAAGCTGCCAGGCTGCCTCTCAAGGGGTCGCCCAGCATGGTAGGCCTTACCTGGGTGAATTTTCCAAGACCAAGGCTCAGGCTCACAACATGTGGGTTTAGATCTTGGGGCAGACTCATGCTAAGCAGTTCACGGGAGGTAGATGTGTAGAACCCAGGATGCCAGACTGCTGGCCCACACTGAGAACCCTGCCTGCCGGGTAGGTGGGGAGCACTAGTACCGTTGCTCTCTCCTGCACTGGAAGCACATCCTAACCTGAAGGTTGTCTGGTGAGCACTGTCAGAGCGAGGGCATGTAGGTGGGTAAAGGAGAGAGAAACTGGGTGTCAGGACTGCCTGGCTGCGCACTTGGAATTCTCGAGCTCTGACGCTGTTGCCCAGTTTGTCTCTATTACGCGGTTGGTTGGTTGGTTGGTTGGTTGGTTGGTTGGTTTTATGCTTCCTTGGCTGACCAAACCTCACTCTGATTTGAGTCTTCCTTTCCTAAAATTTGTTAGAATTTACACATAGGTCCAGGGCATATCTTTTTCCCCCACCTTGGGGAAATTTAAGGTAACTCTTCATATTTCTCGCATGACCCATGATTACTGATTTACATTTTACTTCTGAGCAGGCTTTGTATTTCCCTCACGTCTGGGATTTTAGTAGACCTCTCACTGTAGCCTTCTTCTACTGGTAATACGTAAACCGACTGTTTTAGCCTGCCAGGCCCAATTTGCTCATCTGTATAAGGCACCAGATTAATTAGCTAACCACTAAACTAACTTCTAACTTTAAATTTCTACTTTCAAGTTTTAAAAGATTCTCCTCTTAATAATAAAAAAAAAATTATGTGATTTCTTGAAGCTATTAAATGGCATGATTCCTGACCAAGTCCCCCTGGCTGGCTGGCATTAATCAGGCTGGCACCTTTCCTTGGCCTTTTTTTTAAAGAACAGGTTCAGTCATTCATGACTTGGCATTCCAGCTCTGTCCTCACAGTGCTTCTCTGGACAAATCAATCACCTTTCATATTCAACTGAGGCTTCTAAAATGATTTTCTAATTCTCTTTTCCATCAGTGATTTATTAGCTGGAGTTCTTCTAGAGTGAAGGACTTTTTCTTATCAGCTATTTGGTTACCTTGAAATATTGTTAATAAAGGAAAGGACAGATGCTCACTTCTTTCCTTTATCAATTTCTTAAGTAATGAATTGAGATTTTAGCAACTTCCAATGTTGATCAATATGTGTTTTGGATTTTTTTAAATCTTTCAAACTCAGAATTTGATATATTTCATATGTGTCTGTAGGTGTGAACCATATTGATATAATCTCTGTAAATTGGTGCAATTAATATTGTTTTTGATGAGATTGGCATGATGTATGGGATTTGCTTCAAACTATTCTGGCACCTAACAAGCAAATCAACAACAAAGGGAGTGATATAGATGAAAAAAAAGATTGGAGAAATATTTTGTTTTTCAACTTTATGGAAAAATCTTGATCTTTGTTAAAGCTGGGTAGTGGGTTCATGGGGTTCATTATAGTATTATTTTTGCTTTTGATATGTTTGAAAATTTTCCATATAAAATAGCTCTAGAAATGTACATAATTCTCAGGTTATCAGAGCTGTAAATCTGAGTTCAGTCATTGACTCCGGCCTCTACATGAATCCCACGAAGAAAATTCTTTGATTTTTATTGAAATTCCAGATACCTCAGCATCAGTTCCTAATCCTTATAGCCCCTAAAGCAGCATGCCAAATGAGTGCATATTTTCCAAGATTTTGGAAATCATTTAAACTTTTGACTTCATTGGATCCCGATTCATAAAATTCTTGTGATATCTGAGGTTGTCCACTTTTGAATAAAACAGTGTTCAGTGAATATTGTTAATGTGAAAATCACTTGGTATCACAATTCCAGTGTCACACACTCACAATTCTAGTGTCACACACATCCCCTAAGAACCTGAAACATAGTTGCTTATGCTCTCTGGATTTTATGCCAGAAAACAATCTGGCATTTCAGCCTTTCTGAACTGACTTCTTCACTCTAATGGTGCTATTTCTCTTCCAGGTTTAAGTTTATCTATTCATGGGGCTGAAAAGCGTTTGCAAGTCCATCAACGGCGAAGTGTGGCAAGCCGCCCAGGGTCACGCCGCCTGCCCGTGGTCAGGCATTCCTCACTCCCACCGAGTAGAAGGTCAATAAGAATGGAGGCAAGCTCTTCTGGAATCACCAATGGCAAGACCAAGGCCTTCCACGCAGGTAATGCATGGGGAAAGGTCAACAAGGACTCACGTTAGTGACAACCTAAAACAGCCTGTGTTATATTTCCATTGGCTAATTATGCCATAATCCCAGTTAAGCTTGCCTTTTTAAAGAATTCTGTTTCTCCCCTTTTCTTTACTCAAACCAGTGGTAAATGTCACCAAGACCAATAAGAAGAGAGCGCGTGTGGCGCGTCAGAAAGGCTAAGGCTACATTCTGCCCACAGTGGTAGAATCTAAATGAAAATCTAAGTGAATAAACTTGCTCAGTTAGGGAAAAAAGCTTATTGTATAATAAAACAAGAAATTTTGCCATTTTCATGATAATTTGTTCCAGGAGAGACCAGGGAATTAGTCAAACTGAAAATGCCCACTTTGAAGCCCAAGGTACCTGGTTTCACTTGTCTGCATCTGCCTACGATGAGGGCAGAAGATTGGGGTCATATTAAGTTTCAAGGTTATAGGAAGCATTTTAACATGTAAAAAATGTTAAAATGAATCAATATCAAAGTAGGTCATTCCAAGAATAGGTTTTATTTGCTAGTTTGGATGAGAAGCTCATTGGCGTGTTTCTCATTCATTCAACCATACACTGAGCGCCTGCTATGTGTCAGGCACTATTTTAGGTGCTGAGGAAACATCAGTGGAAAAGGAAACTTTAATGTCCACATGACTCATAAAATCATTGAAGTTTGAGGAAATTTAGAAGTCATTTAGTGTAACTCTCACCCAATCCTGATTCCTTTGTGTAATGTCCTGGCAGGTGGTCACCCAGCCCCAACTAAAGCCAGCCTCCATCTCTAGCCATGTCACGCCACCCCCTCTCTCTCGCACTTTCTTTCTCTCTTTCAGTTGATAAGGTTTTTGGCCTGAGTAAATTGGATTGGTATACAATGGANTCTCTCTCGCACTTTCTTTCTCTCAGTTGATAAGGTTTTTGGCCTGAGTAAATTGGATTGGTATACAATGGAGAAGCCCGCAAGGGAAACAGATTTGGTGGGTTTTAAAAGGCAGAAGTAGGGCCAAGATCAGAAGTCTGATAGTGAACCTACTAATACTGAGAACTGGCAAGATCATGTAAGCCGTGGGATAAACATGTCTGGAGTTTGAGAGATTGGTCTGGGAAGGAGATATAAAATTGACTGTTGTTGACATATAAATAGCCTTTGAAGCAGTGAGATGAAAAGCAATGACAAAAGAAAGGAGTGAAGATGAAGGGGAGAGGATTCAGAGCTGAAATCTGGGGCACTCCGACAGTAAAGGGAGAGAGGATGTGAGTCAGCAGCAAAGACCAGGACAGAACGCCCAGTGAGGATGGACAGAAGCCATAAAGTACGTGTCTTAGAAGTTAAGTAAAGAAGGTTTATCAAGAAGAGAGGAGTGATTATCAAGGTTCAACGTTGCTGGAAGTCAAGTAAGTCAAAGACTAAGAATTGGCCATTGATTTTAGTGAAGTGAAGATCCGTGGTGATTTTGATAAGAGCAGCTTAGGTGAAGTGTTTGGGATGACACCCTGATTAAAGTAGATTTAAGAGAGAATGGAAGGGTATGAATTGGATACTCTGAACATAGACAACTTTCTTTTTAGCAGTTTTGATGTGAAGGATAGTGAAGAAATAGGGGAGCAGCTGGAGGACAAGTAAGGTTCAGGGAGAGTTTCTTTCAGAATAGCAGCCCTCCAGCAGATAATTCATGATGTTGGAAAGGGGGGAGAGTTCGTGATGTAGGCGTCAGTGAGAGAGATGAGAGCTGTGTGCGACGCAATCATGACTAGTTCATCTGTGATAGCAGATGGGAAGGGAGAATAGGTGGATGTTGGCAGTGGGATAAGGGTCTAAGAAGTTCTTTCCCCATTTTGTCAGTTTTATTTGTACTTGGGAAGCAGGGTCATCACTGAGAATGAGAGTGGAGCCGAGAGGGAGGCATGGTGTGATGACATGAGGGACCGAGGCAATGTGATTGCCAGTCACATCCAAGGGCCACTGGAGATTTATGGTCATGGTTGAAGTTACACTGGTCACCATGGTTGTGCGTTTTGCTTTAACCTTGTTTAGCCACATGAGTGCAGACATAGAATAGATGGGGAGTTAGATTTAGTCAGGGTTGCAGTTGTGCCAAAGAAATAGGAAAAGAGTGCATGAGCGGGAATGACTTTGACAATCGATTATGTGATTTAAGCTTTGTCAAGAGGAACAGTGGAAAGCTGATAGGCTCAATTGGTTGTCAAGGGTTGAAAAGGTGTTGAGGTAGGGTCATGGGAGGAAGAGCTGGAAAGACAAGAGGTAGTGATGAGAGGGGGGATGCATCACACTGATATTAGGGGGGCGCTATTATTAGTAATAAGCTGGTCTAGGCTAGGGTATGAAATGAGCGACTGTTACAGGGTGAAGGGGAAGATTACAGGAGGAAAGAATTCTCAGGACCGAGACACCAGCATTTGGGAAGGATCATCTATGTAGATATCGAAATCGTCNGCACTGTTATTAGTAATAAGCTGGTCTAGGCTAGGGTATGAAATGAGCGACTGTTACAGGGTGAAGGGGAAGATTACAGGAGGAAAGAATTCTCAGGACCGAGACACCAGCATTTGGGAAGGATCATCTATGTAGATATCGAAATCGTCAAGAATTGNCGCTATTATTAGTAATAAGCTGGTCTAGGCTAGGGTATGAAATGAGCGACTGTTACAGGGTGAAGGGGAAGATTACAGGAGGAAAGAATTCTCAGGACCGAGACACCAGCATTTGGGAAGGATCATCTATGTAGATATCGAAATCGTCAAGAATTGAATAGTTTTGGGAGAGGGATGCTAAGTCAGGAGTTAACCTCATCAGGAAATGAGGGAGCATGGCCTGGGAGGCAGCAGGTGAATGCGGTGATAAGGGTAGAAGGTGATATAATACAACAACTCAAGATTTATACCTGGGGGTGTTTAGTGAAGAGGAAAGAACAGCGGTCTCAGGTGGCATTAAGACTCAAAGATTTAGTCTTCTAACTGTAACTGTGTATGGTGGCAGATGCTCACTAGATTTACTGTGGTGATCATTTCTCAATATATACAAATATCACTCATCATATGTACAGCTAAAACTAATAATATGCCACTTATTCCTCAACAATGAAAAGAGACTCAAGGATGATACCTTCTCCTCCATATCCATTGGTGTCAGGGCTGTAGGAGAAAACAGGCCCCTATGAAAGAGCCACGGGGAAGCCATGACCTCTGGGGAGAGCCCGGCTTTCATTAGAGAAGATGAAGGGAACGGTCTGAGGAAAGCCTGATGATGGGCCCGATGAAGGGTTTGGGATGTTGGGGAGTTGCTTTCAAAGGCTCTCTTTAGTTATTTTCTCAGACCACCCCAAAGTTCTTCTCCAAAGAAGACAATTAACATTATCCTTCCCCTGCTTAAAAGTCTCCATGGCTGTCCAGAAGAAAGTGCAGGCTTGTGATCCCTCTGCACTTCACCCCCTAATTCCTCCCGGCTTATGTCCTTTCGGCTCCGTAACCTGCCCGTTCTAGTTGAACCACCCCCAGCTCTTTGCTATTGCTCTGGTAGGCCTTCACTTTCCATGTCGCTGTCACTGCTCAAGCTCCTCCCTGTTTTTGGAATGGCCCTTCCCCAATTAATCTCTGCTTCTCATTTCTTCAAATGTATCCCAGATTCCACTTTCTCCCCAAAGCCTTTCTAGATCTCACTGGTCAGAACTGATCTACAGAGCTTGGAACCTGTATGGCAGTCTACCTGTTTTTAGATTTTATAGTCCCCGGAAGGCAGGAACTGCATTTAATTTATCTTTCTATTTTCCATCTTCCCTAATCCATGTATTATTCAGAGTAGGTTCCACTACTAAGTGATTACTATTTGCTATTTGTCGAATCTATTCCACCCATTGGATACAGGTACGTTCTGAACTTATACAGAGTAAACCTAATTCTTCTTTNGGGTACATTCTGAACTTATACAGAGTAAACCTAATTCTTCTTTAAAATGACAATTCTTTAGTTGTTCAGAAACTCATCTTGAGCTGTTTGTCAACTGAAACATTTCCTAGTTTCTTCAATGCTTCTTTCAGGGACACTTTTTTCAGTTTCTTTAGCATCCTACCCACTCTGCTCTTAGAAACAGTCTTATTTTACGGCTGCCTCTTTGAAAATACAGTGCCCAGAATCGCATAGCCAATTCTGCTCGTGTCTGACCCAGGCAGAGTACAGCCAGCCTTTCATTGATATCCTGTACTGATGTTAATGTAATACCATTTTAAAAAAATGTTATTGAGGTATTTCCTAACAGTGTAACATCAGCATGGGATAATTTAGCGTGTCTCTAGTCACTGCTCTCATCCTAGAAACACATCACTACAGCCCTGGCTGGTGTGGCTCAGTTGGTTGAGTCCCATGCACCAAGAAGTCACTGGTATGATTCCTGGTCAGGACCCTTCCCCATCCAAACAATCGTATACTTTTATATCTAGAGCATGATTGACAAAACTGGAAAAGGGGGGAAAATTTAGATCTGGTTACAGGAGCGAGTCTCAGAGAGCAAATCTGAAAGCTTCCAGAATCACAGGTAAGGAGAAGGAAAGCTTTGACATTTGCTGGGAGTTACAGTGGCATCTTCATCTCAGCAGTTCATTTTTCCCCTCAGTCACTCACTGCTGGTTTTCCTTTGACTGTTATAGTTGCTAGGAGGGTCCTTGCTTTTATTACTTTAAAACCAGCATTTCAGCCCGGCTGGGCGTGCCTCAGCAGGTGAGCATCAGCCTGGGATCCAGGAGATTGAGGTTTGATTCCTGGTCAGGGCACATGCCCGGGTTNCCAGCCTGGGATCCAGGCGATTGAGGTTCGATTCCCGGTCAGGGCACATGCCC